TTGACATTTTGTTTTGTGTGGGAAAGGTTGCAACTTCCACGGAATAAGTTTTGCAAAGGGCATGATTACATTTTTAGCACGGTCATCCAGCAAATTTGACCTAATGACCTGACCTATAGCACTAGGTGACATGCGTCCGAAATTTTAAGTCGTGTTGCAAAATTGTTGTTACAATTACGAAATCTTCCGCACCTGCGTACAGCAGTTTTCCCTAAAAACGTACAAGCGGCAGACATCCATTATTCTATGCCACAGAATAGGGGTTTGTTGATAACCGTTGACAAATATTTGAGCATCATTGTCTTTCTGACTTTCGGTCGCCGGCCGGGGTAACTTTTTCAAACATTCTCCACCCGTGCTGGTCCATGTGTACAGTTTTAGACGCTGATTCCATTGTTGAAGTCTGTTCTTCGCCACATATTATACTTTGGCCCCTAGAGGCATTCAAAGTTTTTTTTTGGGGAAGGGGGACCCCCTTAGATTTTTATAAAAACTGGTCCATGTGTACAGTTTCGGACGCTGATTCCAATGGTGAAGTCTGTTCTTCGCCACATATTATACTTTGGCCCCTAGAGGCATCCAAAGTTTCTAAAGGGGAAGGGGGACCCCTCAGATTTTCAAAAAAACTGGTCCATGGGTCCAGTTTTGGACGCTGATTCCAATGGTGAAGTCTGTTTTTCGCCACATATTGTACTTTGGCCCCTAGAGGCATTAAAAGTTTTTTTGGGGGAAGGGGGACCCCTTAGATTTTTATAAAAACCCAAAAAAACTTTGAATTCCTCTAGGGGCCAAAGTATAATATGTGGCGGAAAACAGACTTCACCATTGGAATCAGCGTCTAAAACTGTACCCATGGACCATTTTTCATGAAAATCTAAGGGGGTCCCCCTTCGCCCCAAAAAACTTTGAATGCCTCTAGGGGCCAAAGTATAATATGTGGCGAAAAACAGACTTCACCATTGGAATCAGCGTCCAAAACTGTACACATGGACTAGTTTTTATGAAAATCTAAGGGGGTCCCCCTTCCCCAAAAAAAACTTTGAATGCCTCTAGGGGCCAAAGTATAATATGTGGCGAAAAACAGACTTCACCGTTGGAATCAGCGTCCAAAACTGTACACATGGACCAGTTTTTATGAAAATCTAAGGGGGTCCCCCTTCGCCCAAAAAAAACTTTGAATGCCTCTAGGGGCCAAAGTATAATATGTGGCGAAAAACAGACTTCACCATTGGAATCAGCGTCCAAAACTGTACCCATGGACCAGTTTTTATGAAAATCTAAGGGGGTCCCCCTTCGCCCAAAAAAAACTTTGAATGCCTCTAGGGGCCAAAGTATAATATGTGGCGAAAAACAGACTTCACCATTGGAATCAGCGTCCAAAACTGTACACATGGACCAGTTTTTATGAAAATCTAAGGGGGTCCCCCTTCCCCCCAAAAACTTTGAATGCCTCTAGGGGCCAAAGTATAATATGTGGCGAAAAACAGACTTCACCGTTGGAATCAGCGTCCAAAACTGTACACATGGACCAGTTTTAATGAAAATCTAAGGGGGTCCCCCTTCGCCCCAAAAAAACTTTGAATGCCTCTAGGGGCCAAAGTATAATATGTGGCGAAAAACAGACTTCACCATTGGAATCAGCGTCCAAAACTGTACCCATGGACCAGTTTTTATGAAAATCTAAGGGGGTCCGAATGTGATTCTGAAAGTGAATCTGAATCTGAGGCTGTCTTGACAGACGTAGATTTACATCACTAGCATGTACAATGCATATGTCCATTTAGTGCTTCTCCAGGGCTAAAACTGAGTAAGTTGCAGCCTGCTTTTGCAAATCACAGATGAATCATCCTAAAATTATGATTGTGCGTTGGATCTTGAGGATCTTGGATGCTACAATTTTGATATTGCATGGGATCTTTGGGATCTTGGATTCTGGAAGTCTGATCTTGCGCGGTATCTTGTGGATCTTGGACCCTGTAATTTGAAATTTGCGTGGGATCCTGGGGATCTTGGATCTTGCAAAATGATTTTGTGTAGGATCTTGAAGATCTTGGATCCTGAAATTCTGAAATTTTGTGGGATCTTGCGGATCTTGGATCTTGATTTTTGGTCGAGGCACAGGTCTGCCTGCAAGCACTCGGGAACTTACGGCGTCGTTAAAGTATCATGTCACTAACCTAGTACTGTAAGCATTTGACATTGCTGGACCATGCAAAGGTTCATGAATGAGATCATAGGTCAGTGATTTGACCTGACCGGAAATACAAGTGTCAAAAGGTATGTCTTGAATCAACGGCCAGTTGTAGGGTTAGGCACTTCAGTTTAGCTCTCTCTTGCACAGCTTTTTAGCAATCGCGAACAGCCGTCAGGACCAACCTTCTCCCTACCGCCGAGGAATTGGTTATTCTTTAAGGGCACTGAGCAACGTATGAATGTTAGCCGACTCGGAAAAAGGGCGGGTTTCTTTACGCTTCTAAAGGAACTTCATAGATGTCGAATTGGGGTAAAGAAATGCCTAACGAGAATTTTTTAGTCCTTCTCTTTACGAACACCATTGTAGCTTAATTACTTGAATATGTATTTCTAAGTCATGCTTTGCGATTGGGAGCCATGAGTTTGAACCAAACTTTGCCTCTTAGATTCTGATCTCTTTAGTGCAACTAATGTGATAAGCAAAGGCAGGTACACAGTACACACGAACTGTAGACACGTCGAAATGTAAAAAGAACGTTTCTGTGAAGAATGAAGATCCAGAGCAGTTATAAATGCGATTAGTAAGAGGCAAGAGCGCAAGTTGTAGACACGCCGAAATGTGAAAAGAAAGTGAAGTATGCGGAAATACTAGCAAACGGGAGCATTGTTTGCGACTTGAATTCAATGCAGTGTTAATCATTTTTTGAGATCGTGTTAATTGTAGCTACTGTGATGCAAAAAAGTTTGAGGCTGGACATAGAAGATGTTACGCACAATCATTGCAATTTGATACTTTGGGTGTCGTTTTGTATAGGCTTGGTGGGGCCCAAACCCCACCAATAAGTTAACTTCAGAATTTAAACATTAACCCTATGGCGATGCATGGTAAGAATGGCTTTGGTATCCTAAAATTATATCTTAGAGTCCTACCAATAGATTTCGGAAAGTGACGCCCGTGATCGATACTACACTTATTTGGAATTTTTATTGATAATGCCGACCATATCATGCATTGCCATTACTCAATTGCTTAGCACGATCATGCATCCTTTTCGTGGTCTTTATCATTATGCATGAAACACATCCACGATGGCATTTTGTAGGTAAACCATCTCCGCCGCCGCAGACTTGTAAACGATTCAAAAAAATTCAATCAATTCAATCACGACTCACTTGATGAAATGACCGATTCAATCATAACTCAATCAAACAGTCTGATTTTCCAAGCGATTCAATCACGACTCATGGACCCTGTGATTCAACTCAATCACGACTCATCCCGTTATCAGCGATTCAGGGAATGACTCAACTCATGATTTAACTCAACGCGATTCAATCAAGATGTTATCTAAAATTTATACTTATGTGATATCAATTTAAAACATTTTTGGAAACTGATACCAAACAGATACCAACCAAATACACTAAGAAAATACCAAAAATCATAGAAAAGTACTAAATCTATACTGAACTCAACAAAGTTGTAGATATTTATATAAATACGGTGTAAAGATGATAATTTAAGTACAGAAAAGACAAGCTCTGTTACAAATGAAGCTACCAGAGACTTATAAAAATTCATTTATCTGCTTGGCGCTTGCAAAAGGAAATATGCAAAATTGCACAGGACACTACCACATATTACCAGCATCATCGAAAAGGAACAAAATTTGCAAATCAATTGTGATACCAAACTTAAATAGCTGGTGATCAGCCATTCAAAAAAAAAAAATATTGATTGATACTTTATGAAGCAGTGGTAAAGCCAGTAAAGCATTACACAGGACTAGACATTTTCGGCGTGCTACAAGTTTTCTTTACTATCAAGAATACGGAATATCGACACATACGAAGTTATTCAATAGTTACATAATATAAACTGAATGCTCTCATGATAAAACTACCTCAACCATCCATATTTTCAATGACAAAACAACAATTCCAAGCCCGCCCCACAGTGTATATAAATACAGTGGCGGCAAATGCGCTTGGTCACGTGACCAAATCTGCACGTGCGGTTGTGGCGAGGGCACTTCCCGAAACTCTGGTGCCAACGGCCTCGCGGCGCCCATAGAGAATACATGGGGCCTTTTCTTTTCAGACCTATCGTGTCTAAACCAAGCCATTTAGTGCAAGGATACGACTAGTTTGAGATTCAGTCGTCTTTTGGCTATAAGTCGGTATAAGAAACGTATTTTTATCGGCAAAATTCGCTAAGTACCAGGTGGTTTTCCGATACGCTGCACGCCTCCTAACCCCCGGCGGCCGACCGGAGGAGTCAGTAGCGCTCCACTTACGACTTTTGGCGAAAGATCAAAACACCTTACAGCTAGAGGGCTGCTATCTGGCACACCTTATCTTTGCTTCCATATGCATCTTTGGAAACCAATTGCATTTCCGTCTCAGGTCAGATTACTGAGTTATGACGTCACACGTGAACCTCTGCAATAGTCCCAAAATACCGAAACTTCGCAATGCCCTCGGTGCCAGAGGAGCTGTCACAGCGAGATGATACTTACAGGACCTAGCATCCCCTAGAAGTCTCAAAACTTGTATATCTCGGATTTCTCCTAGAGGTCACATGAGGTCAGGCCGATCGCGTGACGTCACCATTACAAGTCAATGGGGAAAATATGGAAACTGTAATTTTGACGCCGAGAATGATCTAAACCTAGCTCAAGCACATGGAATCGCAATGTCATGCACTTCTTGCAATGCCCAATGCTTCACTTTTGCATCTTTAACCTAGCGTGACGTCATAGGTCACAAGTTTTTTCGTCAATAACACTGAGAAAAAAATTTACCACCCTATGGAAACTAACCCTTTTATTCAGGATAAGACTCATGCCATACTCAGGTAAACTAACGTATTTACCAACGATGCCTTAGTTCGTTCGTAGCTCCTGCGATGATGTGAGGCAGTACTCATCGATGCTTGGTATTTATGCTCAGGATCATGAGTATGTGGTTAGTAATCTAGCCGTGAGTACGCTTCCAGCTCGCTGATTGGTTGAGCCGATGTGGCACAGCCGCGCACGTTTCGCGCGCGTCTGCCATTATTTCAGTTGAATTCTGTTGCTTGGTGGTGAAAGTGCGTCGCTCGCGTGTGCAGCATTTTATGGACTTGGTGTGCAGAAACTGAAACTCGGATTCCGAGGCCAATAGTAAGTATGTTCATATACTTACCTTATTAATATCTATTATTGATCAATGACCACAAGCGCAATTGTGTGTCGCGAGGAAATAGGCATACGAGTATAAGGTACCGTGAGAGATGAGGGAGATGTGAGAGCACATCTCCGAAGAGAGATGTGCCCTAAAGATAGGTAATTAGTGAAGATTTTTGCTTTGTAGGTGTTATTCTAATAATGGAATGCGTACTGGACGATATTCAATGCTTTTTGTTCTATGAAAAGTTTTGACTTTTGATGATGAAATACGTGAAAATATCATGTAAATATTTTATCCGCTGGGTTCCTCTGGGTTGTGTTGGATATATTAAGGTAGGGAAGAAGTTCTTTTTTTCAAAAATGTGTCGTTAAAATATACCGACTGTATGTCTCCTTTCACAGTTTCTTTTGGATATACCATCGCACTGCTGCCGGGGCTGATGCCGGTGTAGACGCTCGCCCCGATCGACGCCGGATGCTCGCCGCCGGGTGGCTTCAGAATGTGAAGTCTGCCTGCTCCTGTTCGATAGGTACGGAGATCTATAGCTCATCTTAACAGGTTCCTAAAAAGTTACTAGATTTTTTTTTTACTTCTTTCTGTATCTTGCGATCACAGTGTCAGTATATAAAATATAATTATGCCATCTGCATAATTTACCGCGGCATGCTTTGCAAAAAGAAAAACACTAGCCGTTTTCACGACGGGTTATTTCACGAGTTTTTTTTTTGATATACCTATCTCCAGAAGCGCTGCGCCGATTGTCACCAAATCCGATACAAAGCCGATCGCATTTCTTCATTAATAAAGAAAATATTTTTTTTTATAAAAAGGTTTTATTTTTTGCTGATCATTTTGAGCATAAAAAATCATAAATCCATTGAAAAAACTATTTTCGTGAAAGTGAACTATTCCCTTTAACACACCTCGCCGATGTCTTCTGAAGTTTTCGCTTTATTTCTTAACAGCTTATTGTTTTCGGTCCATAGGTAAAGTTTCGGAGACACTGGTTCGTCTTCTGGAAACTGCAGTCTCAAGGATAGCGACGGAGAAAGTGCGCCCATGGTTTTCCATGCCCTCGCGCTACTGAGCCAGAATACCAGTCCAGCACCCTTCGAGCTGCAGTGCGCCGACCTCGCGGTAGGAAGCGGTTCAAAAACTAAGCGATCTCGCGCAGTGTTTGCGATCTATGGGAGTGTTTCATTGTTTTTTTTACGGACCTCTAAGTGTTGTGTTTAACGGATTTCGCCCCGTACCCGGCTCTTGAATTGCATGTTGGCAGAGATTTCGTATGATGGGTTTTGTAATAAACTTCAGTGTTTTCCTCGTGTTTGTCACGTCTGCAAGGCGTAAGGTTAACGAACGCATTTTTGGTTTTATGCGTTGGCATCCGCGTTAGTAAGACCCATCTTAAATGGGTTAGTATTATCATTATTCAGGGTTGGTTATCGTTAGTATTAGCCTGAGTAAGTGTGTGGTCCACCTTGGTAATACTGTGGGTAGCGTCTTAGTAAAAGCTCAAACCTGAGTACTTAGGTGGTGAGTTTTGACAACTCACCCGGAATACTCACGTTATGTATGAGTCACGTTAGTGTTAACATGAGTATCTCCTGAGTACCAAAGAGTAGTTACCAAGGGAACCTGAGTAGTTGCCGTCGTGAGTTTTGACAACTCAGTTTGGGGTGGTAACGTGAGTAATTTTTTCTTTCAGTGAACTCCTGATAAATTTGAACTGGTAAGTCGGAAAAGTCGCCAATGGACTCGGGAAGCCTATCGAATCGAATGATATACGATATAACCTCCTCCGATCAACTTCGTGACCTGAGTGCCTCTGACCTGACTTTGACCCGATGTGAACACCTTATGTTGACCCCACCCAAACAAAAGTGTACCATTTGACGCACCGGAGCATGACAAACATGATGGTACTAAAATCGCGACTCTGCGCCGTTTTTTGGCAAAGTTATTTCTAAAAACCCGAAATCGTATTTTGGCCCTCGGGGCACTTGACCTGACCCTCAGAGGCCACCAGTTGACCTGAGACTTTTAAAGCGTGCATCAATCGCTGCGTCCCCGGTCCCGTAACGGCACACATGCTAGTTTTTCCCGCGAGGCTAGCTCAATTAGGGCGAGGGAGTCGTGCTCGCCCACTCTCGCGGCCGGGGCGTAGGCATGTAAAAAAAAACTTATAAGTCTAGGGATGATTGATGCAAGATTCTTACAGATAATGGTTGATGAAGGTAGGGTATAAGTTATTAGAGATAAGTGAAACAAATTTGCAGCCCTCAGTAGCTTTGATTTATGCATTAAGAGTTATAGAAATTAGAGCAACTGTAAGCTGCAGGCTCAGCTCTTCAGTTTCTACCTATACCTATCTGCAAACACAATAAACTCAATGGAAGAGTAATAATAGTTTAATTGTATTTTATTGATGCTATTCGAGTTTCAAAGGTAACTATGTCACCGATGATTCAATATTATTTGCACGGTATCATTTGCTACCACACGTCTACATATTTAGTATCTAAAATCTTGCAGTAAAATAAGCTGCGCCACATCTGTCGACAAAATCTGGTGCCAACTCAAGGTCAAACGGAAAATGTGGTCACGTGACCAATGTCCGGCAGCTGGCCCGCCCCACGTAAAGGCCTGGCTACCAGGACGCGTTTTCTGCGTGCGTTTTTTGCTTTTGCGAGTTTGCGTGATTTGCATAATACGGTTCTAGAAAGGAACAATATTATGTTTTGTTTTTGTTATATTTTTTATAAAAATTTTAATTATTAAATTATCATAAAAGGCTTTATTAACGTTTATATAATATACGCAAAACATGCAAGCTCGCAAAAAACGCACGCAGAACACGCATAGTGTAGCCAGGCCTTTAGTACTGAAGTACGCATGCGCTAAGTGGGCAGCCATCTTTAATTTAGCAGCAGAACCATATGAGAACCATGGATTACTTAACTATAAAAAATACATAGTTTATATTTTTAGATTCAATTAAGCATATTTATGCATGCGTGTAAAACAGTTTTTTATCCTGTCCAATTCATTAAAGAAAAAATATCCAACAGTAGAAATCTAAATTGGTTTGGCAATATGTATTTAGCCCAGCACTAGGTAGTTGCAGCGTATATTGACGCAGCTGCGACATGAAAGCGTATTTTGCGTGGTTTGCATGTGGCAAATATTGCGAGCAGTCTGGCAAATCTCTAATCCGAATTTAGCATCGAATGCAAAACTGTTAGCGGTCCTCGAAACTAGAAGGTGAAGAACACCAAACTGATAAAGATTGTTTGTTGAGCTATGAAAACAATAGTTTTTGGGTGATGGTGGACGTGATGGGAAGGTGGTTGTTTTTTAATACCTAGTAGGGTATGTATCTACTTTTGTGTAATTGGGAGCCACCACGGCAATATGTGACAGATCCATCAACGCTCATAAGCCAAGGTATTCCAATTATTTACGGTGATAGGTAAACGCTGATTCTGCTGGGAAATGTAAAGTGAGTGAGAAGACCATGGGTTAGATCAAGCAATTTATGACCCTTAGCCCAAAATCAAATCAGTAACTAAGGTTACCAAATTATAATGTAAACATGCATTGTGTATTCATCAATATGTTTTGCTTACTCACAAATGTCCTGATGAAGCAGGGTATTGAAAATATAAAGATTAACATGATATCTAAAACATGTGTGTTGAGCAATGTGCGCCTGCTTACTGCTACTGTTAACTTGACGTAATGACATGATGTGGAGATGGAATTAAATTAATGAAATACTAGGACTTACTCCACAAGGAGATCGAATGGGTCGGAGCGCTTTCAATATGTATTATACATATCGTCGTCAGCGAATCAATAACGGGTCGAATCGAGTCGGGTATCGAAGAGCTCTTCGATACCCGACTCGATTCGACCCGTTATTGATTCGCTGACGACGATATGTATAATACATATTGAAAGCGCTCCGACCCATTCGATCTCCTTGTGGAGTAAGTCCTAGTATTTCATTAACTGTTAACTTGATTACTATACTGATTTTAGGGCAATGGAAAAAACATTACATTCATTTTTTCATCTACATGCACTGACATTTATGTATAATTTGTGTTTACAGTTTGATTAAAAACTTAAAACAAAATTTTTATGTTTTTTTCAATAATGATAGCTGTGCGCATTTATAATACTGACAAAATACCTAAAAATTTTGCAGTGCATTGTGTGTGACTATGATGCAAATGCCACATATATTTGCACATAATATAGTACTAAATATGGTCATAACTTCAATTTCCAGCACATGGTGATTGAATCATTTTGTTAATTCAATCAACTTGAATCGATGAGCTGCCGATTCAATCACTTGCAGTTGCCATGTGTGACCGATTCAATCAGGATTCATATGAGAGGTGATTCAACCGACTCAATCACAGTGAGTCGGCATTTTCAAGCGATTCATGAGAATCGATTCAATCAGAGTTGAATCGCTTACAAGTCTGCGCCGCCGACTGCCGCCGCCCAGTGCCGATTGCAGCCCGCCGGCCACCACCGCCGCTCGCTGCCAGTTGCTCGCCGCCGCACCGCCGCCGCCGCCCGCCGACCCTTCTGATATCAGAATAATGGTGAGCGCCGGCTGGCCGAACTCGGCCGCTCATTGGCTGCCGTCCGCCCGATCCGAGCCAGCCGTGATCTGATTGGCTGCTGCGCGGGCGGGGCGCCGGTGAGGGTGGTGTGATGTGGTGTGAACAACGTGACCTTGAGCGGAGGTCAGAGCTTTGCACGGGACGTGCAAGTTTGATTCGTCGTAGCTCTACGCAGAGGGGTGTGTTTGTGTATGTTCTTACCCTCCAAATGCTGGACAATGACGATCCCTTCCCAGAAACTATGATACGAAAATGAGGCCTACTTTTATACATTCACAAATGTTGTTTTAACCAATAAGCAATCGTGTTTTATCATGGGCATTCGAAATGCAGGCGTATTTTTTAACAAATGGCTTCGTGAATACAACGACCTCTGACCACACTGGACCCCACTAGGAAATCCTATCATTGATTTAGTGACGCACCAAGGACGAGTATTTATGATCTGTGTGGATCCCATAACAAAAAAAAAACTTTGAAAAGGCATATTTTAGGAGATTTTATGTTTATCAGTTTGAACTGTAAATTGCGAACTGTATTCACACTGTATCCCTAAAACAGAGCCTTTGCAAACTGCAGCACAGCCTTCAAGCATAAATAATAAGCCAATCTCGATAGAAAAATGGGAGGGTTATCTCAGTGGACCTATCGACGAATGTCATGAACCGTCAATCTTGAAACTTGAAAGACATACCGTGTTGCATATTTATGAACCAAAGGCATTTGTTTAATGTTAGAAGAAAAAATGCTGAAAAGCGCCAGGACTTTCCGGACACCCTGTGTAACGCGTCGCGAGATGTCTGGGTAGGCGGCACCACACTCAACGAGGAGGGAGGACACATGCTGTCGCATAATTGGCACACCATCGATAAATTTCATGAGGATTTCACCTACCCTGCAAATAGGGTGTTTCTAAGTGTCATAGAAGTCTGTCGCCAGGAAGGGCTGCGTAATGCGTTGCGCCTGCATCATCCCCTCAGCGCCCGCGTGACCACTCAGTGGCGGCAGAACGCCTTCAATTAGGGGGGGGGGGGGGGGGGGCACTGACGACTTTTGGTCCCATTCTTTCCATGCAACGCCCATAGGGCTTATGTTAAAATGCAAAATCAAAGGGGCACGGTGCCCCGGTGTTCCCCCTCCCGTTCCTTTTTTTACCTCCTGCTGGCTGCTGCCCCCCCCCTCTTTACCTTTTTTGCTTTTCGTTTTAGAAATGAAGATCACGTTGAATGAAATCGAATGCCGTTTTAATTTTGAAAACTGGCCGGTTAGATTTCAAGATATCAAGGGGGTAGTAAACAGCCGCCCTCTGCCACTAATAGGGGTAGCCAGGAGCCTGCCACTAATAAGGTTAACAACCGTCGACCAGAGTAGGTAGGTAAAGCAGCGAAGGCTATGCAATCCATCCACGTTTGATCGTCATTGCCGAGTACAGCACAAAGCTGCTTTGCCACACCATTATCCCCAAATGACAATAACCGCGGATTTACAATTTGCATTCCTAAAAGCAATTCGCCATCCTTTCCCGCGCTGTTCAGCGAGCGGCGGTCATTCCCGGCCGCTGATGTTCAGCTCATTTCCACATTTGATTCGCCATGTCGCACAGCGCCGCAGCGCTCGACTGCGAACGACAGCTGCACTGCCTCTGATTTCCGCGTAATGGAGAAAGCCATCCGCTATTCACTGATACCGCGAATGGTCCCCGGAGCCAGGAGCAGTGTGTCCGCGCGGCCCGCCCCTCCCCACGCAATGACTCACAACTGCGCAGTGACCCACCCGACTGCGCAATGCGCTGTGACCTGCGGGT